CTGCTCTGCTGTTCTTTTCCGTGTTTTAACGGCTGGTGCTTTAGAATGATCACAAAATGGGTTGAAAAGTTGGTATTCTTCTCTTTGTTTTGACGAATTTCTACTGTTTCCACTCCGATTTCTTAAATAAATTATGTGGTATATTATGGAAAATGTACTATAACGACGATAAGATGTCTAATTCTGTATTTCCATCTAGTTTGGCTTGTTTGAAGTTAAGCATAAAGCTACAAAATGGGCTATCTGTGCTCTGCCCACCACGAGTATCGAAACCTAGTTTATAGCGTTGTAACTCAGCAGACATACCGCTGTGTCACTGGGGGGCATCACCATCTATTCTAGTTAGCATTACAACATTTGGTCCTCTATTGGGTAACGATTTGATTGTACCATCTAAGTTAATGGCATTTTCTATGGTCGTATTCACAGATAATATATTTGGAGTGTGGAACATAGAGTCACTTTCCATGAGTTCTTGAAGTCATTTCATAAAAGTTACATTTTCTTGTGTCATGCTAGGTACAAATTTGCAGTTTTTAGATAGCCCCCTGTGGAGCTGTGCTTTTAACAAATAATGTAAATACTAATAAAACTGTTGTACACCACTGGGAGCAATGCCTTGCATGGAATGGTGTATAAGATCGTAATATCGTTCATTTCCACAGTCATCTAAGGCTTCTTAGGTATCGTTTTTTAGTAAGCACAAATCTCCTGGGGACTATTCCTAATGGATCCCCTCATTAAATGGTAATGGATTCCTTACTAGTTTTCTCATCCTACATTAATATTATGCAACTTGGGAACTCATCTTAAGATAAGATGTTTCCCAATTCTAAACCATGATAAAAAGAGGATACATTGAATCAAATGAATTAGGGCTATTATGATTACTCAAATGTATTATCTTAACCTATGGGCCAGTACTTACAAAATAGGCATATAGAGAAATAATGCAATGTTATAAACTCTGTTGTTTTTTTTTCGAGTTATTTGTTCTGAATGATTGTCCCTCTGATGGGTAACTTATGGACTTGCAACGCTAAAATCCGAGGTTCGATTCTCCGTAGTGGACAGAACGCAGATAACCCACTGTGTAATTTTACGCTAAAACAAGAAAATTGAATTGTTTCGTCTCAGAACACAATAGAAAATTGTGCGATATGCCTGTGACATTTTTTCGGTCTTATGGAAGTGTTGAAAGTAGAGTAATAATAAAGATATTCTGCAAAATCAACATCAGAATAAGTATCTTGATCTTCGGTTTCAAATAACTCTTTTTTTCGCAAGCCAATGTGCTTGTTTTTAGCTTCATCACTTCATGTTAAATACACCTGTCGAGCTTAATGAGTTATAAAAGCTTTGAATCATACAGTAAACCTATCAAAGATTATATACATATATATATATTAAGCCATTTTTTGTAATAATTTTTTTGTACTAACATAAGCATGTTTTGCACATAGAAAGCGTTATGGCGAGAGACACTCAGATCACCTTACTGTCAATCAGTATTTCCAAAAACAGTTTTTTTAAATAGTGCTAAGTGGTTTCATAAGTGATTTAGTAACATTGTGAATTGCAAATTATTGTTTAATGATACAGGTGATTATGCCACTCAAGAAACGCCCTTTCTATGGAAAGCCTTCTACCACTAAAAGAATTCAAGCACAAAGAGCAGCTGAAACATAAGAAGAACACAATCAAAGACTTCAAGCACAAGCTGCAAGACAGGCTGCTCAAATACAGGAAGAGACTTTGGAACAACGTAAAGTCAGACTTCGAGCTCAAGCTGAAAGGAAGGCTACTTAAAGACAACAAGAAACTGTTGAACAGCACAAAGCCAGAGTTCAGTCAAAATCATCAAGGCAAGCTGGATATAGACTATAAGAAACTTCTGAACAACGTCAAACCAGACTTCAAGCACAATAATTAAGACAAGTAGCTTACAGAGAGCAAGAAACAGAGGAGCAATATGATGTACGACTAGAGGCTCAAAGAACAAGACAAGTTCAAACACGATCTAATTTCAAATAAAGCTTTGTTTGATTAAATGCATTTTTTATTTCTCGCATCATAACTGTTGTCTACTTACTGAATAATTTTCTGAAAAAAATCTGATCTATACATTTCAATGTAGATACATAGATATACAGATATCATATGTAGATAGATAGATAGATATACAGGGGCACATCCAAAGGAGGACGTTGAGAGGATTGCAATCACCTCTTTCCAATGGACTAGAGTTAATAGTTTCGTATACCTGACTGTCTCAAAAAATCAATAACCCTGATTAAATATATAGTTTTTGCACAACCTAAGATGACCCTGCAACCTGAATTTTTCAAAAAGTTTCATTATCCGGTGGAAGAACAATCTCTCTTAGAAGAAATGCTTGCTCCGCCCCTGCACGCACACGTACAATATTATCTTTAGTATTAGTAACTTGATTATAAGTATGCAAAAGAAGAATAAATGAGATTGAACCCACTTTTATTTGTTGCATTTTAATTTCAGAATTATGAGTAATTTTAGTAATTCCTTCCATGTCAAAAACCATATCATTCTGGTTGAAGAGTAAGTAATGATTATTATAATAGTTGCTGGTACTTGGACCGTTCCTTATTACCTTCTAGACATCTGTTTTTCGTCTTGTTTCGAATTAGTATCTTCTAATACGTGGAAAAAGGCTACTTAAACTGTGATTCAAATATACTGAATAAAAAGCGCCACAGTTAAAACATCTTTAACATGTTTTGGAAACAATGGCCATCTTCTTCCTATGTTTCTCTTTACTGGACGTTACCATCCTCTGTAATTAATAATAATAATGTACTTATGTAAAGATATAGCTCACCTAACCCCTCTCTCTTTTCTGCAATAGCAATTCTGTTACTTCGTAAGATAACAATGATATAATACTGTCTTTAGAAACTCAAACGGGCCGTCTATTGGTCCAATAGGTTGGAAAGAAAGAAAACTTTGTATTTCTAACTTTTCTTTTCATGCCTACAATGTTAAAGTAAGACCTATTTCCAGCTGGAAATTCTTATTATTTTCTCGGGCTTGCATTTCTGAAGACAAACGTGATTACAGAGAAAGCTTTCTTAATAGCTGTATATCCTACGGTGTTTCGTTAGGTTCCTCTAAGCAAAGCAACTGAACCACCGATTGGTTAATAAATAACCCGTAGTGACAGCAAGCGTGCTGGGTTTTTCGGGATTTAGGAAGTGGAGACTTTGTGAAAGCACCCTACCCTGCTAGGACAGGAATGTTGAAAGCCAATGAATGCTACTCAAGCTGATTGGTAGCAACACCGACATTCTCTTACAAAGTGTTTTATTTCAAAATAACTTCAAGATAATGTCTAGATACATGAAGCTGCTAATTTGTATTCACCGTGTTACTAGCACGATAAGTAAAATCAAAAACACGTGTAACATCGTAGAAGAGGTCCACATAAAGAGTTGAGGAGAACAGGGAATTGTACTTTGAGAAGGTTAGTGAATGTTACAGACAACCAGGATCGAAACTTCAGTAAATTTGCAAAATAACAATAAAAACAAAAGAGTTTCTTCATCACCAAATTACATTAAAGCCTCTTGATGTGTCAATTTCTCACATTACTTCTAGAAGCACTCGATTTATAGTCAACATAGAATACGATAAGATTCATTATTAATGTTTAAACATAGCTTGATGTCAAATATAAACATTAATTAAAAAAGTATATGTTTTAAGTACTTCAACGAAATTCACTGAAAATGTTCGGATGGTAAGTAATTAATGTTTGTGTGGATGATTAAGCATTACGTTACGTAGTAAAAATATTTGTTTTTTAGTTGGTAAATCATCGTAACACCGTTTATCACTCACTTCACAGACATAATTGTGTTCTCGTACCTAGGAAGTTTAATTCAATTTCCTAGCTTCTCCGATGTTTTAGTGAATATAATAATTATGATATATGAATTATTCAGCGCAAATCGTTAAAAAACCTTTCCCACACATTATCGCTTAAATGACGAGATCTTCACATGCCTCTAAGAGTACTACGCCCACATCCACACATGCTCTAAATCAATCAGTAAGTATGGCACAGAAAGCAAGACAATATAATTAACTAAAAGTGAAAGCAGTGAAGCACGTTTATAGATTCAATGTCGTTGTTAGGCGCATGAGTTTAAAGTCCTAAAGAGTAAGCTATTGTTTGCTTTGTGTAACAGTGTTCTTAAAAGCTGTGGAGAGTTTTAGTTTTGGATTATTTTCAGAATTTGATGTTTAACAATAACATTTCAAATATTAATTGTTCAATAGCTGCTAGAGTTTGTTTTTTTTTTTCAATAGTTTTGGATAACTATATAAGTCTTCTGATTTAACAAGTTATTCAGTTTTCATATTGGAACAGTAAAGTTGTTGTTTGAGCGCCAAGTTACACAGTGGGCTAAATGCGTTCTGTTCACCACGGCAAACCGAACCACAGATTTTAACTTTGTAAGTCCATAAGGGTACTGCTACCCACCAGGGGAAGGAGACGAATAGAGTTTAGAATGTAAATTGTTAGAAAATTTTATTGTTTGTTTTTTTAATTTGGTGGGTGGTGATGACTAGCTGCCTTCCCTCTAGTCTTACACTGCTAAATTAGGGACGGCTAGCGCAGATAGTCCTCGTGTAGCTTTGCGCGGCCAACTCTTGGGCTACTCTTTTACCAACGAATAGTGGGATTGACCGTCACATTATAACGCCCTCACGGATGAAAGGGCGAGCATGTTTGGTGTGACGGGGATTCGAACCTGAGTGAAATATCAAGACGTAAAACAAATGATTTTTACTAAGTTTGAAATATATTTTTAGTGACTTGATTAATATATTGAATTTGTTACTGACGAGAAAACAAACGTATAAACAATATTCCTTGTTGATTTGTGTATCAATTTTTCTTACAAAGTAAATAAATATTTCATTTAAAACATTATTAGAGGAAAAGACAAAAAACTAACCCGGTAGTAATCGGTGCTGTAAACATCACGTGACATGCCAAAGTCGCCTATCTTCACTACCAGAGGGCCTCCAATAAGACAGTTTCTAGTCGCCAAATCTCGATGAACAAAATGCTGAGATGCTAAGTATTCCATCCCTCTTGCAACTTGAACCGAAATATGAAGAAGCTGAGAACATGACAATGTCTCGTGAGGCTTTCCATAGGAATCGTACACTACTACGTCAGGACCTCTATTTCTAAAATAACGACGTCAAAAATACACATGTAAACAAAAATAAATAGATAAACCAACGAATAAATGCAAGGTATTAGGTCGTCAAGAAATTAATGTCGCGTTTTGGAGCACTTTCGTTAATCAAACCCCCCAAAAAACGTACGTCACGTATAATAGTTAAACGAACCGTCTAAACGTCATGTTAATGTAACCTACATAATGAGTAAACTTTAGAATACTCTAATCCCTT